ATATTCGATATTTCATGATGTTACTTCATTTTAAAAATCATCAAGTGATCCACTCTGTATTATACCTGGGTAACTTGATCGAACCAAACTTCATACGGTCCATTGATGCTAATTTCCACACGATCCATCGGTAATGATTCTCGACCCAGCGTGCGGGAATGAGATTCGGATCTACGCCCGGACTGGCAAGAAACGCACGGAGGAACTCCCAGACTCCCGCGTGTCCATTCTCATCCAGGATTAAACGTACATCGTCCTCCATCTCTATCCCGCGAACATTTCTATGCGCCACGTCGTCCCCATAAAAGTCGGAGCAACGGAATTTGTACGTCGCGGCGATCGTAGCGGTGATCTCCAGGATTCTCGGTGATATCTGTCGATCGATAAGCTCCTGATAGGAACACGGCATGGGCGGCGCGCCACCGCCGATCTGCCTCATCGACAAACGAGCGTTAGAATTAATCTGCTTGTAACGGTACAGGTGACCCATCGATTGCTTCGATCCTTCCGATTGCGCTCGTCTCCTTTTCGCAGTGATTATCGCCTCCTGTTCTAACGCGGCTGCTAAGCGATCCTGTAAAATCTTCGTCGATTGATCAATAAAATCTATCATCATTTGAGTGCCGCCGTAATCGCTCAATCCCGCACTATTGCCTTTTGCTTTTTCCTGCGTAGCTTGCGTTGGTTCCTCCGTATTTAATTTATCGTCCTCAATCTTTCCGCAAGTCGCGCTTCCTTGCACAACGTTCTTTTGCAACGCTGCATTCTCGTTATCTAGCATCTTGTTATCTGCTCGCGATGCATTAGATTCATCCCTTTGATATCCTAAACTCTTTCGCTTCCTCAAGCTGGACTGCCTTCCTATAATAGGACTGCCCGCTTCCGATTCTGTTGATTCTATCGAGTCCGTTTTAGGCGATCCCGAGATGGACTCTACAACGGAAGAGGTTTGCCTTTCTTTATCAGGATCTCGATTTTCGTCATTATCCGTCCTAGTACTCGTATTATCGGAAAATAATTTTCTTGCTTGAAATTCGCTGCCGAAACGAGCCCTTTTCGTTTCGGACATGTAATTCCTGCCCTGCGGTGTGCTCCCGTCTACATTAGTCTCGCTTAGTTTGCGCTTTTGCAACGATGCGCGCCCCAAATCAGGATTACTTTCATCCAGGCAGTCGTTGGAGAATAATTCTCCTGCTGTTAATGCAACGTTGTTCGAAACCGGTACCTCTTGACCGCTTGCAGTTTGCAATCCACCATATGGAATTGCCAAGTCGCGTTTTTTAATCTTTTCTTCATCGCGATCACTATTTTTAACAATATCCATTTCTAAAGGACAATCTAATTCATCTGCAAATAACGCTTTTGCTTTGGATAACGCTCGTTCTGAAATATTGATGTATGTTCCACCAGCGGTTTGAAATCCAATACTTGGAATTTTTACCTCTTGCATATTTTCTACTTCGTTGATTTTATTAACTTTGTTTGCAATTACTGGTTCCACTTGATCATCCAATCGTTTATCGAATATTTTTGCTTTCGATATCTGTTCAGAAATACCAACGGCGGCGCTACTAGGAGATTTAAATTTAATATTTGACATCTTTATCTCTAATCCTGTCGTTTCTTTATTATCAGCATTGGTTTCCTCTGCAACGATCACTTCTACTGTATCATCCAAATGTTCCGCGAACAATGTTCTTGCCTTGACCGGTGATTCTCCTGAGATAGATTTACCACTGGTTGCAGGAAATGATGGTAGGGTCTTAATTTTTATTGTTGTAGATTTTTTATCGGTAGATCTCTCATAATATTTTATTAATTCATCGTCATCAATATTGTGTGATTCATCCGCTAATAACGCTTTTGCTTTTAACAACGCTTTCTTTGATATGTTGATAGGATTGCCGCTGGCAGTTGATAATAAAATAGGAGCTTCATTGACTTTTTCACTAGAACTTTTACTTACAAGTGATTTTTTACAATCTGCAGTGTACACATTGTCATAATTTTTCAATTGTTCTATAAACGGTTTCGGTTTGGATAATGCTTCTCTCGCAATGTTTACGGAAATATTATTAACGAATGAAGAGGATGGTAAATCATCCGCTAATAACGCTTTTGCTTTTAACAACGCTTTCTTTGATATGTTAATAGGATTGCCACCAGCAGTTGTTAATAAAATAGGAGCTTCATTGACTTCTTCACTAGAACTTTTACTTACAAGTGGTTTTTTATAATCTGCATTGTACACATTGTCATAATCTTTTAATTGTTCTATAAGCGGTTTCGGTTTGGGTAATGCTTCTTTCGCAATGTCGACGGAAACGATGTCGTTATTAACGAATGAAGAGGATGGTAAATGGCTATCTTTCTCTTCGTTAGATTTATTTCTTTTAGCAGGTGGTTCATAATTCTGTATCTGCATTTCATCCATATCAAAGACGGATTCATCCATATCTGCGAACAGTCTCTTCGCTTTAAATAACGCTTGCTTTGATACATTAATTGAAGTACCACGAGCAGTAACAAAACCTATATTTTCATTCTCCTCAATATTCCTTCCTTTGTCGACGTTCTGTTCGTAGTTACATTGTGTGACAATAGTCCCCATTGTTTTTTGATTATTAAAAGTGTCCAAACATAACTCATCTATCTTACTAAATGAGACATTGCTAAAGAACTCTTGCGTGGATGTGTTTAAACTATCAGGTACATCGTTCGTAACATTTTTTGATTCCTCATCATTACATGTGTCTTGACTTTTACTGAGAACTTTTGGCTCGTCATCTTTAAGAGCAGTCTCAAGAGACGAAGTGGATATTGCAGCATTTGTAGTGTCATCTTGTGCTACAGAATTAGCATCGTCAGAAATAACAGGTGTTTCTACTTGTACATTTGCAGTAATATCTTCATTGTCAGTTACAGCTAATGGATCTATAGATATAGATCTAAATATACGACGTTTCGAACGTCTCCGCGACGCTCTAGAGGCAATAACAGGAGAATCAGAAATAATTTTTTCTATGCTTTTAACATTTGAAACGTCGGGTGTACGCTGTTCAACTCTAGGTGTTTCTTCTGTCTGAAATATTAATGATAAACGGGACGTTTTACAACCATCGTTTGGACAATAATCATACAGAAATTTAATTCTGATCAATTTAATAATAAAAAGTAATAAATTGTGGTGATCAACAGAAAATGTAGCTGTTATAAGATTCTTTAAAATGATAGATTTATACATTTAGATCTAATGAGGCTCTAAATGTATAACTAAGGAGAAGCAGAAGACTAAGGGTAAGACTGATCATAAAACTTTATGATAGTTGTGAAACAGCTTTTTCTGCTGAATGCCGTCATTAATTACTTATTTTGAGTATTAAAAGTAATGAATAGTTTTTAATACTCAAAATAAATAGTTGATTATAATACTATCTTTCAGTATTAAAGTAAATCTCTGTAAATATAATACATAAGTGTAACAAAGTTTATTTAAAAAAATGTATTACTAACTGTTGTGTTAATGGTTGATATCGTACGAGGCTGAGCTTGTGGGGTCTCTAAGTCACTACTCCACTGTTCATTAATTTTATTTAAAAATGGCAACAGACTCAACGGTGTAGATGGAATTACGGCATCAGTTGATATTCTGTCATTAACAAATTTCACAAGTGACTAATAATGGATATTAAAATAATTTGATTTTAATATCAGAAATATTATTGACAGACAATATAATTCAATAATTCTACTTATTTACAATAGATTTGTTCTTGCATTACTATATTGTATGCTAATCTCCGTCGTAATAAAACTTCAAAGTAACAAAATAAAAATGTGTCATATTGAGATTATATAATCGAAAGTATTATTGATAGACAACATTATTCTATGACTTTATTTATTGCAATAAATTTGTTTCCGTGAACAATTTGTTTATCAAAAATATTATCGACAGACAACATAATTCAATCACTTTACTTGTTGACAATAGATTTGTTCTTGCATTATGATTACTATATTAGATGCTAATCTCGGTCGTAACCAAACTTAAAAATAAACTAAACTTTAAAATGAAATAAAAATGTCACATCGGGAACCATCAAATCAGAAGTATTATTGATAGACCTTTATTCGATGACTTTACTTATTGCAACAAATTTTTTCCTGCAAACATCTTGTTTGACAAAAATATTATCAATAGACAATATGATTCGATGACATTACTTATTTGCAACAGATTTATTCTTGCTTTCTCATTACTACTGTTAAACAGTAATCTCCGTCATAACAAAACTTTAAGGCAACAAAATAAAAATGTATCTTACATCGTACTGGGACTGTAATCAAGTAACGACAAAGGTGTCTCAGACAGACTTAAAACTGAGGTATCCTGGCAGACGTTGGATCTATGTCTAATCTCGTTCTTTTGTTCGTCATCTAAAAATTCGTCGTGTAAAAAAGAAAAGGAAGAAAGAATGCCATTACTGCCGTAATTCGAGGGACATTCGATCATTACCTGAGAACAATTCGTCAGAGTCATCTTCGGCATTGTCAGTCTCTGGTAGATCCATGGCCGGGTTAACGTCGTCTGTTCATACGTCGTATTTGTTTACCTATCCATTAATCTATCTGCGCCGTATTTCATCCATTTGTCGCAGAGGTTGTAGTTAAACGTCGGGCCAGTTAACCGTGAGAGTAATCGATGAAAACTAGATGAATCAGCAGTTGATCGATCGTTCAGTCCCCACCGGTTCGACGACACACACGAGAATACAACTATTGGCAACTATTCGACTCTCTCACGTGGAAGTACTTGTCTTTGTTTTGAATTTCCCTCATGTAACACGCGAACCTCTCGTATTGCACAATCATGCACAACGAAGGAAAAAAAAACACGCAGTCAGGTGACGATTCTTCAAGCGCTGTATGCGGCAGCGAGGGAAAGTAGCCGGCCGTCTTGAATGATAACCAAACTGCCATCTAGCGATAGAGTAGATTTTAATACTTGCTGGTGTAACTGATTTGAACTTTAATTTTACATCGAAAAAGCACGCCAATTGGAAATTAACCGAAGCTAGAACGCTGTATTTGTTCTCAGGATTTAAACGCTCGGTGATTTTCAACCGATAATTGATTCGCTGAGTAAAGTATGTTAAACGTGACATATTTAAACTTTGTAGGTTATAAAACGTCATATTGCATATAAACAGTACAGGTTACAAATTATTCTCTTAATATTTGATACAGAGTAAGATATTAAAGATTAAAAGTCACTGTCCACTAAAATTATGGATGTAATATTTTATTGTTTGATTCTCTTGACACACAATTCTTAGATTTTCACTCATGAAATATAATTAGATCATGTCATTGTCAAGATAGCTAAAGGTTAACAATATTATTAACATTGTCAACTAGCAATTATTAATATTTTTCAACTAATAGGATTATGATTTTAGAGCAAATTCCCATTCACTGTCTTTTTTTTAAGCTTTGTTTCTGTCATTATAACTTGTCAACCATAGGTGTGGTTCCATTAATGTAAGATTAACTTCAACTCGTTTTTTTTTTATTCTAAGACTTAGTTCCATCAGTAAAATTAATCTTGACTTAATTTATTTCTAATTTTTATAATTAAAAAAGAGTAAATTGAACCAAGAATAAAGTTAATTTTACATTGATAGAAGCAAGTCTTAATATAACAATGAAAAAACAGATCTATGACATTATAATGTAAGACTTACTCGTTTTATGTGATTTTCAATATTAGAAAAACAGCAGACTCTGTACTCAGCTGTTACTAAAGGTTTATTCGCATAATATACAATGTACAGTTTGTAATATATGCTCTTGACAAGACTCTTTAGCTATCTGAATAGAAAACTTGAAAGTATTATACTGTAGATTTGTTATATGTTTAAGAATATATTGTATATTGCAAAAATAAATAAGAATATAATATTTCTGAAGGCTTGAGCATGGAGCAGCTGCAAACAGCATTGACCGCTATCAAGGTACTCCGTTCCAACGTCGGGCAAGTGTTTGATTCCCTTGGAAATGGCTTACGGGCAGAGCACGGAGAAGAGAATAAAGAATCCAAGTATTTGTTTGAGTTACAGGAACTGTTGACCACTGTGAATGTTAATTTGAGGTAACTTGATAGCGTTTGAGATCAGGTTTTAGCTTTATACAGGATACCGTAAGGAACAAATTAATTTTTGCCGTTTTAAAACATTACAGGGACGTAGAACAGGCGATAAGTAGTTTAAATCCTCCACCAGGTCCGTTTAATTTAGCTAGCACGACTTACCTTAGTCAGGAGACTACACAAGAAAGACAGGCGTTGTATAGCACACTTGTTAACAGTTACAAATGGACAGACAAGATTCACGAATACAGTAACGTTGCTCAATCCTTGCTCAGCCAAAACTCGCTAAAGAGATCTTACACAAGCTCAAGTAGAACAAAAAGAGGAAGATATCAAACCAGCAATCATAATGTACCTCAGGCGTAAGCTATTGTGATTAATTCTCACAATACATAATTAATGATAACCGTAAAAGTAGAGACTCTATAACGGAATCTAGCCACGAGACAATTAACTTTTGATTGGTCGTTATATATATGTATATATATCTTTCTCGTATATATTCTCTCTCTTGTTTTGACAAAATTGTTTGTGGTCAGATTCTATTATAAAGTCTTTAGGTAAAAATAACGTTGTGGACTTTAATCGGTTTTAAAATGTACAGGCAAGTTGACTCTATGATATCAACGTTTGATCGACTATTCAACGATATGACGGTATCCGTGTCTCGTCCGTTTGCATCGAACGCAGTATTACATGTTACACTGGGACATGTCTTAAAAGCAGTGATAGCGTTTAAGGGGTTGATGATCGAACGGGTGGTAGTAAAGGGTTATGGTGAAACGATGGACCTATGGACAGAGTCTAGGCATAAAGTCTTCCGTAAAGTAACGGAAAACGCGCATGCCGCGATGTTGCACTTTTATTCGCCTACATTACCCGAATTAGCAGTGCGATCATTTATGGTAATTAATAATTTGTTAATTATATACTTGTACATTGTAAAGTAAATATACGGAATAATATGATCATCATCAGCATAATCAACAATCTAATCGAAAATAATTTTGTTTATTTTTTCTGACTGAGATCCAATTCGCGCTAACAAATTGTGAGCATTAATTTTTTTTGTCCTCGTTTAACGTTTAATAAACAAAGAAGAATTGATTCTTAAGCTTTAAGGCAATAGGTAATAAGCGGCCAATAATAGTATTAATGAAACGAATAACATTTTATAACAAAAACATGGCATATTTGTTTTATTAATACTGTTATTGAAAATTAACAAGATTATTTTTAATTAGATTGCTGTCGGCTAATGCTATTAATACAATATTATTTTTATCCGTATACTATTAAATCTATAATAGTTAGATACGATCTTATCATCCATTAGCTAAGGATTCCAAATGCGCGGTATATACGATTGTTATCATTGTTTGTTTTGTTTGCAGACATGGTTTCATAGTTTAATCAATTTATTCAGCGAACCGTGCAAACGCTGCGGTTTGTACTTGCACAGTGCGCTTCCGCCGACTTGGAGAGATTTCCGAACTTTGGAGCCTTATCATCAGGAGTGCAAACCATAAGATACAAGTTTCTCAAAGCTTGTATTTTAAATAAGTAATCAATCTTCGCAGGTACTTCATCGATAATGTACAGTAATAAAGCGTAATGACATTTGATACTTATATTTTTCGTGAATGCATTTATTAGTTGGAGTATTGTATTGTATATATATTAAAATGATAGAATTGTGAATAAAAATACTTTTCCCTATTTTAATACATCGCATGCTAATTAATCTCGCGGTACTATAATAATATCTTCTGTTTTTTTTTTTTCATGTTTTTTTGTTAGGGGATGGTGACGAAGCAAGTAAAACATTTTCACAGAGAATGTAAGGGCTTTTATAAAAAGAATTCAATTACATAACACTTAATAAATGCAAATCGCACAAAACATCGTTCTATGAGAGAAAAATTGTAAAGTATCAGACGGTACATTAATTCGAAACAACATACGTCGTATAACGCGGCACTGCCGATCGCGCTCGCGATAGAAAGCTGATTAAATGACTAGATTTCTTGTTAGACCTGTTAATAGTGACGTTTTGAATTCCAACGAACTTATAATATTACACAGTAAAAATAGGACGCCCCCTTTTTTTCCATTATAGAAGCGAGATGAGGAAAGGAAAGTATAATCGAAACTTGATTATCGTTCAGCGGAGAGAATTGATGTTTAGTGCTAACTTTTAATATTGTAATATACAAATGAGCGAGCGCGTAAACGTTTTTTTTTTCCTTGGAATAGCTCTGCGATCAATGTGTATTTTTTTTTTTATTCCTTATTACCTATATCTACGTATGTATACACTCTTAGTGTCGTTATATGCTATTTAGTTTTACATAATGCTAATTAGTATCATATGTAAATATAATTACGTTGTATTATAATATACTTTTCACATAACTGTACACATTCACATCTTGGAATATTGGCGCTCTCCTAAGGGGCGCAAGTCGTTTGAGTGGCAGTGAACTTATTTTACAAATCGTTATTGTAATCACTTATTTTGTTGGACTGTTCGAAATTTCTCGTTTTACCTTACTTTTTTTCTCTCTTTTATTTCGTTTTGTTGAAGACTAATGTTGTAATGCTCAATGAGTTAATAATGTATCATTGACTCGAAACCACTGATGCGATCATTGCTTATCTTCTTATCAAAGTTGTGATGAGTGCGAAATACATTATTATAGGTCTTCGCGTTTAAAAAGTAGTCGTCTTTATAGTATATGCATATATGTATATATGTATACGTTATTACAATTTTTTTAGAAACGAATTATTTGTTTATAGTATTATACGTGGGTCAATTACAGACAAGTGAATTCATTCAATTCTTTTCCCTGGTAAGAAGGGCTAAGAAGGGCCTTTCCGCTGACGTTCTCTCGAGACGAAAGTAATGCAGTGATACGTACGCGCGCAGACGGAAAGTGCCTTTCTCAACTCGCACATCTCGCATTGATTTTTATATATATTATGTATATACGGCATACTGCATTTCGAGGGTAAAAATTGCCGCGCGTGTAAATGATATATTGTTTTTGGTGCCAATGTGATCTGTCTTTTGTGAACACATATCGCAGCATGCCTTTTCTCGGTGAGGTGGTGATTGAAAGAAGAGGTTGTCGCAAAACACAAATGGGTCGAATAATTTTACGGCTATAAGAATACCGAAATGCGCTCTCGAAATTTTGTCATTTAGCAGCTATAACGCAAAGATTCGCGTCGAATTCGAGGATCTTCGAGACTCGATTCGATCGGTTCGAATTAATTGTCTTCTGGATACATGTTCGATACTCAAACAGAATAACATATCACAATAATGTCAAAATGATGTTAAATCGTGACTGATTGAAAAGTGACTTTTAATATTTTGAAGACATTTTGATGTCGCGATCACTTGTTCTGCTTGAGTATCAGCTTGCGATGATTTCGAAATGGAGATAATAATGACGGTATATAATAAATTCACGGTCCATGACATAATTATCAGCCATCGCAGAGGTGAGAGAGGGAGAGAGAGAGAGTTTATATTCGCCTGTGTGTCTCGGTGAAGTTTCCAATTATATTAATTAGATTGAGTGTTTACACCGTGCTACTATCGCCTAGTAGCTATAAATAGTTTCTATATATATGTATATATATATATATATACGTCTCTATCCTAGCTTTATCAATAATTAATATAGTATTCTGAATTCTCTGATAATACTCGTAATGCAAAGAGATCTACTTTATCGTATCTTTTTTTTTTCCCAGTTCAATATAGCTTTATTGCCTTTCTCACTGATTCTGTATGTTTTGGACAGCTTATAATTAAAAAACTTCTTCGGTTTGCTCGTTCGTTTGATATCATATAATGACGTTTTGCACAGATTCCGTCTAGATCTTGCTTTTTTCCATTCGATTAGTATCTCTATCCTAAATATTATATTGCGTTTACGTTCGCAACATTCGAAACCGCAAGTTGAAACTGCTTTGAAAGGAATCACCGGAGATTTCTTCCGTAGAATTGAAATTCTGATCATCGAAATAAAAAAATCAAGCTTCTTTGGCTTCTTTATTCCTTTTAACGTTCATATTATTTACACTTGCGATTATATAATAATCTTTTCTTTCGTGAACTAAAACTTAGCGAACGATACGATAAATAAGGAGAAATCTTTATTTCGAATCCCGATTTGTTCGAAGAATTTGTTTAACTATGTGAGCGGAATTAAGACGAATAGAATGAAATAAGAAAGATTTGAAGAAATTTTTAGATCAATCTTCAATTTCGATGATTGGTGACTCGCAAGATAAAGATAGCGCGTTTCTTCCGATTTTTGCAGGATAATCCGATGGGTATATCGAGCTAACGCGAGGAATCTATTTATCATCATTATTAGCGTTCGAATAATTGGATCCATTTGTCACTATCAGTAGTTGTGAAGCAAGAATAAGTCATCTTTCACTGCTCTATATCCGAAGGTCTACAGATTTACGAAAAGTTTTTGTTTTTCGGCAAGTAGAACATAATCATAAAAGTCATAATTAAGTCCTAATGATATAATGATATATCATCATGACGTCATTTACTTAAAAATGAACTTGTAAGTGACAAATAAAGTCGTAATGGGAGACAACAAAAGAGATAGATGACACGGTGTGGCACGATGAATCGTTACATCCTTGTTCGCCAATATTAAACAGAGATGGGATGATCACTGTGTCGCACAGTGTCGCTTGTTGGAAAGCTCCCGATGACGTCTTTACGATATTATTGTAACTTCTGTGTTCTACTTGAGTTCGCACTGAATTCTCATATGCGGCGTGAAAGGCTGCGTTCAGCAAAAAAAAAAAAAAAGCAGCTTGGCAATTGATATACAATTTTTTAATATTCTCTAACATTTTTACAGTGAATCTCATTCTTAAAGACTGAAAATTGAGCTACTCATTCTCAAGACTGACTCAATTTTTCACTCTTTGTAGATTTCACTGCCAAGAATTTAGAGAGTAGTCTTCCCCTTAGTTCCTCTAAATGGACTAACTGAATCACATTAGAGAATCTTACAACAGTTGTTAAAACTACTTTGTTAAACGTATACTATCGATGCAACGTAAAACGGCAAAAGATAGAAGCCACATGTGGGGATATGATTGCCGTCGATTTCGTTGGTTCATGCTATCGCGAAAGTGAGAGGGGCTTCCCCGAAAGAGTCACGATGCTCGATCGATGTCGGTATCTCCATCGCGGTGTTTTCTTTTTTGGGATCTAGAACGGCAATGAGTGGAGATACATGTCTGTCCTCGTTTTGTCACTCGTCGATAATGCTACTTTAGCGGGTAAACGAAGTACGCTATATATTTCCGGTTATACGGGATTATATCGTACACTTGCTGTGTGACTTCAGCGACGTCTCTCAAGTACGGTAGAAGTATACAAGTATATGCACACGTATGTACAGCACGTAGGGAGGGATCGTCGTCTCCCTCGGAGTATTCCGAAATATCGAATCGCCTGCACTCTTCCATTAAAAATGATCGATAACGGGGATGGAAGGAGAGGAAGAAAGATCAATGACGGAATAAGAAAAGGCATGCCTCTGCGCAGACTGGCTGCTCTTATTGATTTTCCCGATTCGGCCGAGGTGTCGATTCCTGTCGCGATAAAACGCATCGGCGATCGCGGTGTCGATTGCATATCGCACAGATTCGCACAGGAGTTGAAATTAAAATTCTAGAGCAATTTTGAAGACGAATAAATTGAAGGATCTTAAAAAAAAAAAAAGGGAAGTGAACTTCCGACGGAGCTATTTCCCGCTCGTGTATTTTTTTCGAGGAATAATATTTCCGCATTTAGAATTTCCTTAACCTTTCGTCGACCATGTGGAATTTTGGCGCCTTAATTCATGCATGTCTTTGAGCTTCAGTGCAGATTTTTATATTGCACTCCGGACTGTATAAAAATCTGAAAACATTCTTCCGTACTTATGAAAGCTTCAACAACGTATTTTTACTATCGTAGAAAAGTCGAATTGTATTTTACTTATTTTTTACGAATTTAAGGGTCGCCGTACTAATATAGAAGATTATATTGAAAATTGAGTTTCAGTAAAATAAATTAATTTCTATATATCACTATATATATAGTGTAGCTTGTGGACAAAAGATGTCATAGGCACAAGGATCAATAATGGCTCAGTAAGCAAGAAACATTTTGGAACATTTCAGCAATATTGTAGCAACGTTGCAACGTGTTCGCCAATGTTAGACAGAGATGGGGTGATCACTGTTGCACAGTGTCGCTTGTTGGAAAGCTCCCCACAACTCAAAAACTATCATTATTAAGGATGCATTCGCTTTGTTCGCCCTTGTTATTAATTAAATATTAAACAAGAATAATTGATGCTCGCAAACACTGTAAGCTTAAGCGAAGGCAACCTTAGTCTTATGTCTATGACATCTTTTGTTCACATTATCTGTACAGTACAGAACTTGCAGCAACGTTGTTGTAATGTTTGCAATATTACTCTAATATTACTAGACATTGTTATAATTTTATTGGAACAATCAGTGCTGTACGGAGGATATGCTACAGTATATGTAAACGCAAACTCACCGGGACACAATTGTCTATTAATTAGTGCCTCTAACTATGAAAATTTACAATGAAAATGTATTTTCGAAGTCCAACTTGGCCGGACGGAGAGTTAACGCCGATTTCTTCGTTCGTCGATTTTTGAAGGACTCGGCTCATTGTCGAATGCATTGCAGAAATATTTTTAACAAGTAGTCAAGGAATCGACATGTTCACCAGGCCGAAGCAGGAAAGTGTGCTGTAGTGTACCCTGCGTTTTGTGAGATAAAATATGATTGATTGGTTCGTGAGTATATTACGATCGAGAGGCACCGTATGAGTTCAACGTGATCGCGAACGTCGTCGAGATTACGGCTAATCGACAGCTAATTCCGATGTAATTTTCTTTATTTTTTTTTTTTTCTTTTTGACATTAATTTAATGCAGTTGGTCGATGCCCAATTTGAGATCTTCGATACGAGAGATCGCTATACTTCGATCGTTAAACGCGCTGTTACATTCCGCGACTTGTGAAGGCAAGTTATTCCTTTTCCTGTCTTTCAGTTGCGGTGATTTCAACAAAAAAATCGCTGGCCTTCCCTCAAAGCGAATACTTCTCGGCAGAATAGGCAGATTAAGAGGAATCGGCAGAAATTCGTTTTTGATCCCTTTTAATTCCCCGCTTTCACGAAGCACCCTTGAACGACAGAATTTCTTATCGGTTTAACGATTCTTCTTTAAACGTTCGAATCGTCAGGCTCGGCCATTCGCTCGTAAATTAATTTTCCAGACTTCCACCCCTTTCGCGAAACGAACGAATTCAGGGAACACTTTCGTCCCTCCGGCAATCAGCGTACACATTCGCTCTCGATAATTCCGGGATCGAGCGCCGGAAATGACGAAAAGAAAATATCACAGTGTCTCGAGGGCAGCTCGTAATCTTTTTTAAATCGTCGCGGATATTATGGCAGTCGCAATAGTACACCATTATCGTACGCCATTCGTAATCGTCGCCGTCGTCGTCCTCGTCGTCGTCGTCGCGAAAGTAACAGCGCATGTTTCTAATAATTACACAACACGGTGCGATGAATCGTACAGAGGACAGTGTGATACAAAAACGACACGTAGTCCCGACATGAGTCCTAGAAAATTAATGATATAAAAGTGAAGATATATATTATAGATACACGTTTTCGCCTTTGCTCCGAATGGATGTGAGTAGTTCGGATCGTGCAACGACGGGGGATGAATCCGGACGAAGGATTCCGTCACCTTTCTCCCTTCCGCCGTCGCTCGAGACGCCCCTTTTCGGGCGGGCGCCGATTTCACGATTTCGATATATCCTTCGATGTCGCACGAAGTCCCGAGTGCACTCGCGCAGTGCGTGAGATCGCGACGCGGCAATCATCTCGTAATCATCACGTAATCATTCCCTTTTCCCAAGCATATACTCGTCTAGGCACAAATCACTTTCGCAACACCTCGGTTATTCTATCATCGATCGCGCGCTCGTCCCATCGTCCTCGTTAACGTTACGCGCGGTGTCTTCTTCCGACTTCAAGAGGAAGACTCGATAAGAATCTTCCGCTTTCACCAAGAGGACCATCTCGCATTTGCCGTCGCATTCGTCATCTTTGAGATTCCACCCCGTCAAGCGGCCGAGCGCCGATCTCGGCATCCCTCGTAGCATATTTATTTTTTTTATTCGAAACATTCCCATGCCGAATTATCTTATCTTGTCGCTAAAGCA